TCGATAACTAAATAACCCTCCATGGAGGCACATGCACTTCACTGCATGCTCACTTTGCTCTACTACCACACACCATGAATTGGTTTTATCTGTTTGATAAAAGACATCAGGATCGCTACGTAATGCCAATTTCTGCTACGACAACCGCTTTCTGATTGACTGCAGGGTTAAAGATCGAACCGACTAATCAGGAGTGTGAAGTTCAGTCCGTCCCAGATGATTGGTTTCGATGCCTCCCGAGTGATAAGGTCCGAGAGATACACCAGGTATAAATGGAGAGCGGACAGCTGTAAAATGTATAATCACTGTATACAGGTGGATGGGTCACAGACGTCATTCAGGCGCAGCACTAAGCGTACGCCTCCCAAGCCCGACTCTAGCGTCCACCATGGATCCGAGGTCCCGTCGCTCGAGGATATTACACGCTGTAGATAAGCAAGGTTGGAGGACCGGCACACCCAGCCAGCCTGCTGCTGCTGCTGAAACCCTGATGTGCTCTACCTTCTTCCATACTTCAGAGAAGGCTGTAATAGGGGGGTGTAGAGCAGAGCAGATCTCCCAGAAAGAATCCTCAAGTTTTAGTGTCACTCTTGCATCTTTGGCACAAGAAACACAAGCTGACATCATAGGAATGCGAGGCGTAATGACCAACAAGGTTTTGCACTTTTGAGCATACAAATTGAGCTTCACCATATAGAGCATGACAGTTGTTTGTTTTTGCGTAAAAGAAAACAGTGGAACTAGACCTAAAATGTTTGTATTCAAAACAATCTCAGCTCAGTGCTGTGGTTTATGCCTGCCGTGTTTACACTAAATACTGTATTTAAGAGCATTATATAAGCTGTAAGTCTTAAACAGGGAGGTGTTTGTTTCATTCTTAAACATGTGGTGTACAATTCTTCATCTTTTAACAATAAGCAACAGTCAATGGGGTTCAAATTCCCCTCGCCCTGAACATTTACTGGACCTGAACTCTGCTGACGTAACAACAAATACATTCAACAGGACTTAAAGGAGGCGTAAACGAGGGGGGGGGGACATGTCTGAAGCTATGGGGTTGCAAAGAAACGAGAACTGATAAGTTGCCCAAAAATATATCGGACAGACTCTGACAGCATCAGCCCACTTCCTGCTCTATGACCTACATTGAGCGGGCAGGAATTTGAGGCACACGTGTGTCTGCGAGTGATCGAGATGGGGCAGTACAAGATGTTCTGGTTGCGTGCCTGATGCATATCTGACGACATTATCCCCGTAATGCTTTCTAAATGCCTGCTTGTGTGAGAGTATGGGCCGCAGGTCTGAGTGTTTAGGTCTGGCTTCTCCCAGGCACTCCGGTGGATCCAAGGTAAGTCGGGGCCGCCCCTCTCACGGCGCTAACTAGCTGTACTTGGATCAGAGGCTGTTGCACAACCCGGTCCACCAGCAGGCGGACCCAGTTTCTTTCGGACAGAGGTGGGGTGAGAACAGACTCCTTCCTGTGTGGATGTGGTGGGGGATAGGTCCTTTTTTGTTTTCCTTTCTTACTGATAAAGTGTAATCGGAATGGGATCATGCAACCCCCCCCCAATTACAAACACACACTCAGCTTCCCTCATTAGGCTACACCAGCTCCAGTGATGCAGTGCCTGTCGCTTCTTGCTTCAGCGGCTCAGCTTGGCTCTGTTAACACTTGCAAATTAGCCTAATCCTTCAGCTCGCCATCTTTAATTACGTGCACGATTAGCCGCGGAAAAACTCGACCATTCGGGGACGACGCTGATCTCGCAGGCAGTGTGTTCACTCTCTTATCTGTGGCATCAGAAGGCTGGGGATGACCGTGTGTGCTGGCAGTATACAAAATGAGATCATCAATGTGCAGTTAGCGGTCATAAAGAAGGTAAGCTGTAAAACAAGGTACACCCTCGTAAAACCACATGACTGAGCAGCTGTGTGGGTCCTCTGCTGAGAGAGGATTTCTTTTTGATCAGTGAGAGGCCGTTGATTTGGTGCCAGCGTTCACAGATCACTCGGCCTTCTTATCACAATGTCAAAGAGCTCTATCTACTCTGTATTGCAGGCTGTACTCCAGTCCAAAGGGTGCTGCTGACTCGTCCTTTGCCCTCTTTATCTACCGTATTCCTTTAGTCAGAGGGCACACATTTTTAATTATTCAGATAATGGAGTCATCTGTAAGACCATGAGCAAACTGGGAAACCTTCACGGTTACCCCCATGGAGTGCTCATATGGATGAAACGAGCACTTAATTCATGCTCGCCCCCCCCCATGAAGCTATTAATACTGTTTTGTTTATAGCCGAGAGCAGACCAGGTGCCGCTGTGAAACGTCCCCTCGTAGTTCTTTCTCTCTTTGCCGGCCCAGCAGGCTGTTCTAGTTCCCTGATTCACTCGATCGCCTCGGCTGCCCGTCAAGAGGATTTGATCAAGTATAGACTTACAGTGCACTCAACAGTAGTTGGGTTAATTGACTCGTGGCCTTCTTCTGTTAAACGCTGTCGTACAGTGATCAAAATGATGCAAAAACATTTCATTTCCTAAGCCCAATAGCCTTAAATTTGGATGAGTTGCCGAATCTCGTGTTCCCTCTACTCAAAGGTGTGTGTGTGTGTGTGTGTGTGTGTGTGTGTGTGTGTGTGTGTGTGCGTGTGTATTGGGCTGTCAGACTGGTTTTTCTTGCCCTCTCTATTGGCAGACCCAGACAGAGAGGCTAGGAGCTGATATAGTCTCACATCAGAGGCACGTCCGCCCTGTCGCCTCTTGTTTAGCATGATTAAAGGATTCCACTTCACACATTAACTCTGATTGTCACTCCCTTTAATCATTTAATGCATTATTCTTCAATGTATTGTAAAGCAAGCGTTCTCTTTTGTGGTGCCTGTATGAGATACTGATCAGCAGTCTGGTGTTGCTCATTCTTCCACGTAGTTCACTCGTTTGTTTGTTTGTTGTTAAAAGATCTATTATGAATGACAGTCTCTGGTACAACGCAAACCACCATGGTTTATGATTCATGCATTTATGTTTAAGTAGTTGTGGTTGGTTTGAGTAGAGCTTAAAGGGACAGTTCACCCCAAAACAAAAGAAATACATATGTTTCCTCTTATCTGTATTGCTGTTAATCATTCTAGATTGTTTTGGTGTGAGTTGCCTAGTTTTTGGAGATATCGGCCGTGGAGATGTCTGCCTTCTCTCTAATATAATGGAACAATGTGATTCTTTAATTCTATCTTAAACGGCTCACAACAAGTTTGTGGATTATCTTGATGTACCTTATCTTAGTCTTGATTGGTTTTATTTATGTGTAAACTTGTAACGTATTTTGTATGTACAAGTAACAGCTGTTAAGTACATGGAGTAAATACTGTCACATTTACTCCATGAAATATCAAGTAGCTTGTGTATAAAATACTCTAGTTAAGTACAACTATCCCTCATTGTACTTAATTACAGTACCAGTGTATTATTCTAATAGTAGTAGTGATAGACAGAGCAGTTAGTAATGCCGGTTCTTAAGAGTTGTCGCTTTATTCTTATTTGTCTGTGACTGTTGTTGAAATGCTATTTCTGCTCCCGGTGAGGGTGATTGACGGCTGCCTGCCGTGCAGCTCACAGGATGATGTCATCCCTCAGCTGTGAGGGGAGGAGGAAGGGGCGGGGCTTCGAGCTCTGCCCGGTTTACTGAGTTTCAGGTGCGCTTCAACTTTCACAAAAGCTCGGAGAGCTGGAGCCACAGCAGCCCGGCGGAACTCCCCGAGGAACCGGCGCGGATTTTATTTAGTTATCGATTGAACTTCAACAAAGCGCGAGGACACGGATGAAAACACTCAGTCTCTTTACTTTGAGGGGAAAATGCACTGGGAACAGTTCCTCCGTTTGACCAATGGAAAGGTGAGCGGCTTTCAGCGCGTGTTGCTCTGTGAAGAGGAGTTATTTATAAATAGATTTAAAAAAGGTAGTTTGGTCATTTGTGTTTACTTCATAAAGTCTGTCAGAGGGAATGTTTAATCTGGAGGTTTGGTTTTCCTCCCGGATGCTCTGTGGTTTGTGTCATCAGTTAGTCATGCAGGTGAGCCTCTGCGGCTGTGTTTTGACCTGTTATGGTATTAGTGGCCTGTTCTGAGTGGTGCAAGGTGAATAACTGTCTCCGTGGTCCTTCGTGGCTTTTGTGTTTGTTTTTATCTGGGTGGCTTGTGAGCCCCCGCAGTGTGCTGTGAAGTTCAGCTGCTTATTTTTTGTATGAGAAGAATATTCTAGGAGAATATTTTGTTCACAGTCCCCGATGCATCATCAGCTCCAGTGTCAGTGTTCTGTGTATTCATCCCCAGAGACATCTGTGGACAAGAGTCACATTTGTGATTGAAGGTGCTGTCGCTTCATAATCTTCTCGGGGAGGGTTGATGTAGATTAAGAAACACAGGGAAACCTCCCGTTTAGTTTCTTTGTTCTTTACACAAATGCTCTGTGGCTTAATGACAAAATCAGGTCAGTGTCTGAACAACCGGACAAATATTCTTAATCTGTGAAACTACTGTGAACAAAAATCTAATATCCTGTCAGTCTTGTCCTTTATCGTTGCTCCCTGAACAAATGGAAGTAGAGATTAGGCTGATGCTCTTTTAACCAAAGAAAAAGAGACCTGCTGGCAGCTGTGGATTCACACTTATTGACGAGTGTTGAGTTGTGTGTGGATGTACTGACAAGTTTCTTTTTCCACTTTCTTTTCTGTGTAAATGAATTTAAAAACATCATGCATCTTCCTCTTCAGAGCAGCTGACCGCGAGTTGCCTTTTCAATCGTCTCAATTTGCCTCCTTTTTTGGCGACGGGCTGTAGACATGCAGAAGCCTTTTTTTTTTTTTTTTTGCCCCTGTCAGCAAAATTACATCCTCAATATGCAACTCACACTTTTTCTTCCCTTTTTTATTTTCCTCTTCGATCCTTCCTTTCACCCTCTTGACGTTTTACCTCCCCCCCATCCCTTCTCCCTCTCGCAACTCTCAGATCGACCGTCTGGAGGTGAGCGGGCTCGGCCCAACAACCCTGGCTGTGTCGTGCGGGGCGGACGGTTCGTTCCCGGGAGGCGAGGACGCCACCCCCGACCCTCAGCGCACAAAGCAGGCGATCGCCCAGCTGCAGCAGAAAATCCTCAAGCTCACCGAGCAGATCAAGATCGAGCAGACGGCAAGGGACGACAACGTCGCCGAGTACCTCAAACTGGCCAACAATGCTGACAAGCAGCAAAGCACACGCATCAAGCAGGTGAGAAGAGGAGCTCCATGAAACTATTCATGTGTCTACTAATCTAGTCTTGGATTCTATTTTTAACAGGCTTATGTGACAATCAGTGCATTAACCCTAAACCTGTTGATTCATGTTGTTTGTCCCTAGGGGGAGGGAGGGAACATGTATTAAAGTGGAGTGGGTTATTGCAGTGTAATGCTTGTTCCCCTCACTAATCAAAACCCGTTCTGTGGCTGTCAGGTTTTCGAGAAAAAGAACCAGAAGTCGGCGCTGAGCATCCAGCAGCTGCAGAGGAAACTGGAGCACTACCACCGGAAGCTGCGGGAAGTGGAGCACAACGGGATCCCGCGCCAGCCCAAGGATGTCCTGCGGGACATGCAGCAGGGCCTGAAGGACGTCGGAGCCAAAGTCACCGGCTTCAGCGAAGGCGTGGTGGACAGCGTGAAGGGAGGCCTCTCCAGCATCTCCCAGGCCACCCACTCCGCCGCGGGGGCCGTCGTCTCCAAGCCCCGGGAGATCGCGTCGCTGATTCGCAACAAATTCGGCAGCGCCGACAACATCCCCTCGCTCAAAGACTCTCTGGACGACCCCTCGGTGGAGGAAGGCGTGACGGGGGCCGGCAGTCGTTCGCTGGGCAACGCCGGGCACCACCTCCAGCCGAGTCCCAGGTACGGCAGTGAGGACGACTGCTCCAGCGCCACGTCGGGCTCGGCTGGGGCCAACAGCACCACAGGGGCCCCCGGAGGTCCCCCGAGTTCCAGGGGCAACACGCTGGAGAGGAGCCAGAGCTCCGGCCTGGACATGCTGCTGCAGGAGGTGCAGGAGCTGAGGGAGGGCCAGGCGAGGCTGGAGGAGAACCTCGACAGTTTGAAGAGCCACTATCAGAGAGACTACACGGTTGTTATGGAAGCACTGCAGGAGGAACGCTTCAGGTACATAGAGAAGAACTACAAGAGTGTGTCATACGCTCCTAAAGCACTTCCTGTTTAGTACAGGAAATCCTCTAAAAATCTAACAGTGTGTAATCAGAAAGAACTATTATTTTTGGAAACGCACACTAAAACACTGATCATTCATATCTCTGTGCTGCTGTTGACGCATCATCTCGGGCAAAACTCTCCCTTTTCCTGAGTAGTTTTATCAAAGCTGTCGATTAAAAACAAAACCTTGACCTCCTTTACATAAACATAAAGCATAAAGGTGCTGCTCTTGTACTCGGCCTCAAAGCGTACGTATCCCGCATACCCAGTACTATTACAACAGCTAACTCTTGCTTTGACAACTTGCTTTCACGTTTAAACTGATAGAAATGTCACTAGCTTCTGTCAGAAGTGACAGACACACCTGCACCTCCTCTCAGTGCTTTGATCTTTAAGATCTCTGGTGGTGTCCCGGCTCTGCATATCTCGTCTCCGGCTCAGACGTGCAGCTCTTGTTTTGGGTTTGTCTGTGGGCAGTTGGTTTATAAAAACAACACACACACTCACTCACACACTCGCATTCCTCCAGAATGTCCTGACAAGAGGGCACAAAGATAAAGAGGGCAGGACAATGGAGGGGGGGGGGGGATGTAGTGAGCAGCTTACATAGCAAAAGAAACACGAGCATTTTTCTCCCTAAAATGTCCAGAGCCGTCTGCGTTTGTCCTCTAAGACCAAAATAATAGCGACCAGAACAGAACGACCACTAAGGAGCTTTTTTCAGCCTCCTGAGAATAATCATTCATAAAGTCATGTGTCTGAATAGCTATTCAGGGATGAATCCATCGTTTCCATTACTAACAACAGCCTAAAATATGAGTGATGAACGTAGAGCTGACATGATTAACAGAAAACGAGTCTGCAACAGTTTTGATGATTAATTAAGTCTTTTTCTTATTTAAAATCAAAGAAATTAATTTGTTCCAGTTTTGTTAATACGTCTTGGTTTTCATAGTGTTCTATAATAATTGCTGAACACCTTTGTGTTTTGAAGACATCACCTCGGGCTGTGGGAAAACGTGACGTTCCCCTTTCTCTGACATGTAATAGACCAAAAAAACAATCGATTAATCAAGAATATTTATCGTACCGACCTAAAATATTCAGTAAAAATCAGTTGAAAAGGAAACAAACTCAGACAAACATACATGGACTTAGTCTAAAGTCTATTCTTGTCCTATGCCGTCCATCCTGCCAAAACACACAGCTCTCCTCCTGCTGGGTGCCTCCCACTGGCCTCTCTCACTCTGCTGACTCTCTCTGATTGGCCAGTTGGATCGGCAGATGAGTAAGCATGCTCTAATCTTGTCAAGGGCGAGTCATCCGTCCAGTCGGGTGCCGTGTGGTCAGATGTCCTCAGGGTCTGTTTCTGCTAATTCCTGCTTCTTTGTCTAAGCTAATTATGCCACAGACTCTCATGCATGTGTGTGTGTGTGTGTGTGTGTGTGTTCAGGTGTGAACGCCTGGAGGAGCAGCTGAACGACTTGACAGAACTCCACCAGAACGAGATCCTCAACCTGAAGCAGGAGCTGGCCAGCATGGAGGAGAAGATCGCCTACCAGTCCAACGAGAGAGCCCGAGACATACAGGTCTGTCCTCCAGGCTGACGTCCACAAGCACGTGTCACAAATATTTTAACGGCTCCCAAAAATCAGTTCAGTCCAAATCATTGTCATTTAAATTGGCTGCTTCAAAAACCAGTCTGCCGTACAAATGGAGTGTCAGAAAGCGATGATAAGAATGTTTAGAGGGTGAAGAGAAAGTGTTCAATTAACTGGTCCTGGTCCTCACTTCTGAGCTGCTGAGTCATTGAAAGCTGTTGTGTAATTCCTGATAAACACACAAGTAACTGCATTACAATCTATATGGAGACGGCAATGCGCGAACATTTTTACTGACGCAGAAAGCCGCTAAACACAGAGTTTAATGAAACATGTTGTTTTTGTCCGTATGTGGTAGTTTTTATTTCCAAATGTCAGAAGTCTTTTTTCACAGTGATGCTTTCACTTCCATAATGTCACCTAATGACGGTGGTGTTGTCACTAATGCCTATACTCTCTACCTCTTAGCACGCTCAACAACTGCTCCTGGATTTAACCAGTTAGCTGTGATAAATGTTTGAGTTTTAATCATAAGTACGGTTTATATCTGTAGTTTTCTGTCAGTATTGGTATCGTTCTATAGTCGTGTCCATTTGGAGGTCTTGAAAGGACGAGTGTTAAAGAGAGCTTAGCCGTCTTTATTTTGCCTTTTTTAAGTAGTGCTAAGCTAATTAAGTCTGCTCAGACGAGACGTAGCAGCTACAGGCATGATCTCATTTGTGCATATTGACACTGTAAACAGGAAGATGAGACGGAGAATCCAGTCTGTCCATCGTCCCTTCTGTTTTCTTCAAAACACAGACATTTCCTTGTCATTGACTGGCATTACTTCTGTCCTTTCCTGTCGTCCATCACGGCTCAGGGTTTGTGTGTCTGCCTGCATGAAGTCTATTTACAGGCTAAGTTGCCCCTTGGCTGCAGTTCTTCTCCTTAAAAGCAGGGGGCGGTAGAGGTCTATGAAATATACACCCTAACTCTTGTGAGGGACACCTGTGAAGTCTAATGCAACCCAAATACAACAGCTCAGACATCCATTCTGCCTTAACTAAGATGCTAATATTCAGTTGTGATCAGGTATTAATTTAACTGTTAATGATTGAGGCTGTGGTGTTGAACTGGATTGCATTATACTGAGAAGTGGAACCGGCAGGAATACTAGAAACATATTTTGATATAATGCAGTCCAGTGAAGTGGCCTCTGAGTGTGTTGTGGCTGTAGTTCTCTAGTCTCTAAGGTGACTTTGTTGACAGATTTTCCTTTTGCTTCTTCCTCTGCAGGAGGCGCTGGAGGCGTGTCAGACCCGGATCTCTAAGATGGAGCTCCAGCAGCAGCAACAGCAGGTCGTCCAGTTGGAGGGGCTGGAAAATGCCACGGCCCGGACCCTCCTGGGAAAACTCATCAATGTGCTGCTCGCCCTTATGGCCGTCCTTCTGGTCTTTGTCTCCACCGTGGCCAACTGCGTTGTCCCGCTGATGAGGACGCGCTCGCGCACGCTCTCCACCCTCCTCCTCATCCTCCTGCTGGCATTCCTGTGGAGAAACTGGGACGCCCTCTCGGGGTTCACGCACCGCGCCCTGCAGCCCCCGGGATGACCTGGTACCGAAAAGCCAGCAACGCGTTGCTTTTTTTGACACCAGGTGATGTAACTTTAGCTGCGATCGCGCAGGAAGTTTGGAGAGCGCGGTCGGCGTTGGAACGGCCAGCGCGACCGCGCACCGAACACTCAGCCGAGCACATTTGGACACGGCATCGAGGAAAAGTGGAAGAAGCGGAGTAAAGTGGAGAACACTCGTGATTGTCTTTTAGGAAGAACGAGACTGTTTACATTTCTGAAAATGAACTACTGTGTCGCTGTCCCTCAGAATGCAGCATTGTACTGTTTTTAAATCTTAGAGTTTAATCAATTGTAATGAAATTATTTCTAATAATATTATTTTTTATTGTCGGCGTTATTTTATTCAGCACCATGTAGCATTGCGCTCCTCTCTCTCTACATGACAGGAGCGTAAGTCAGGAAACTGGGCTGGCGATTTGCTCCAAAGGCCCGGTCCACCTGTAGAGACGTGCAGATGTGATACCGTGGAAGAAGAACTCTTTCCTAGCTGTGATTGGTAGATTTCAACCATGGCTGAAAAACCTTCCTGGGAGTTGCTCCTTTCTTGCTGTGATGAAATTGGTTCATACAGAACACTTTTGAAGGACCGACCAGGACCTCTGAGAATCGTGATGGCCGGAGACTGTTTGTGCTTCCTTACCATTTCTAATCGACGTGCTTTTACTTATTTCCTTTTTCTTTGTTTTTATTATTAAAACAAGAAAAACTGTTTCATAAGGGAGATTATAACGGAAACACAAAGACAGAATGCAGCTTACCGAAGAAACGACACATAAACGCACAGATCTGAGTATTGTTAGGCGTCTGCCAGATTTGCAGCACAGCTATACAATGCTGCATTTTGTTTTTGATTAAGAAAAATGACATAGGAACCAGTTTTGTGTTTAAATGCAATGACAAAAGGCCTTTGTCCAAGTAACATCGATTAGCCAGGATAATTGTCTCCCACCACCCGCCATATTTGATGTGATCAGGTCAGAGAAAGAGAGACTTCTGGTGCTTATCCAGCTCCATCTCAGCTGGAACAGGAATGCTGCTGCTTTATATCCACAGTGCAAGTCGTCCCCGCTGCCATGTCAGTCAAATGCACACTGATATTGTCCTCTTCATCCCTGCCTGTTATCTCCTCTGGCTGTCTTTTCTTTTTCTACGAGTACGCCGTCTCACGGTGGTGGTCACCCAGTGCCAAACCTTCGTCTACCCGGAGACCCCTGGGCCTCCAAAGGGTCTAAGCTGAGGCGAATGAAGGAGGAGGCTGCTCAGCAGGGGTTGCTTCTATTCAGATATGTGGTGAATGTCTCTCCTGAATGTCAAGGATGTATCTATTTGCGAGTGAAAAAAAAAAATGTATTGGAGAATCTGAATCCAGATCTTCAGACGTGTGTTCCTCAGCTGGGCGTCCAGTCTTTCTCTTATACTCTCTCTTTCTCTCATCAAGTCAAGGACACAACGACGCGACCCGCCGCGTTAAATAGTTCATTGTGCAGCTGATTTCCTAACGGATAGCGAGATCATTTTTTTGAACTCTACAGCTGCACTTTAGCACACGGCTAGATAACATACAAGTCAGGCTGAGGCTCTGAGGAACCTCTCGATGGAGACTTTCAAAGGTTGTCCCTCTTCAGACAGAAGAGGAAGAGCCTCGGAGGGATACGAGGAGTTGACTCAGGTCAGGATCGTTGTCGTCCTCGTCTAAAGAAAAATCTCACAGAGAGGAACTTCTCTCAAACATGCAGTTAAAATGGTAGATTTCATCGATCTATTTCGATCTCGCCGCCGCGGCAGACAAGTTGAGAGTGCGCTGACCTTTGGCCTCGCAGTAACACCTAATGATGTCGGGGTTGTGTGCTGAACCATTCCAGTGCCTTCTGATGTCCTTTTGTAAGTGTGGAATAAATAAAGTGCATTCCCGAACTAACTCATGAGTCATCGCTATTTCTTAAAAGTGACGTGTTTTAATTCATGTCTGCGTTTGTTGTTGTTGTTGTTGGGGCTGCATGACTGCTTTAGGGCATTAATTACTGCAGGATGGGATGATGCTACACATAGTTAGTGCTCTAAATCTCCTTTATGAAAGTCCCCTCATGCAGGTTCCTCATGTAGCCACTAGGTGGAGATATTTGATATTTTGCTTTGAATGCCCCTTGTGCTCTTCCCCCCCCCCCCCATGTCTGTGAGAGGCTCTGTTGAGTTTGTGAATGGTCCTCCATATGAGGGAGGTCTGAACACAAGGTGTTGCACCTTATCAGGAAGGAAACAGGTTGGGTGGGAGGCCCCTTTTAACCGCAGTCTTACTGCCAACAGTCAAAGTGGTGGGCCACCAGGGACAATATTTTCATTACACACAGGAGAGACCACGTCCCCCCCCTAGACACACACACACACACACTTTATTCTACTCTCTCTCCCACACACACATTTAGATTAATTATGTTGAACGCCGCTTGATTGAGCAGCACCAAACCGCAGCGCTCGGTCACACCTCGCCCGGTGATATCTGATGGTGACAGCTTTGGCCCCGCACCGAGCCTTGTCCCCGCAGGACCTCGTGTGCGCGCGTCCCAACCGCTCGCGCACGGTGTTGAAGCTGTTGGCGGTTCATTCAGTGTGCTGTGCAGTTTTTTGGGGAGGAAGGGGGGGTCATTATGTTGCACTTTATCAGAGCGCGTTCCTCCTCTTCTATACACCGCCAGATTTTGATGCGCGTGGCTGTGCGCCAAGGTAAACACGGGACGCACTTATCTGCCCCGCTGATAGCTGCAAGTGGCGGCGGAGAGCAGAGAGTGAGTTTAGCCCCCCAGAGGAGTCTACAGTAAATAGGCACAATCGATTGCGCACGATTTAGCATCTACTTTAATTATTGCGTGTATTCAGAGATGACACTTCTCGGGCTCGCCTGGGAACTGATTAATGCGGTGTCTGACACATCCGCGGTCATTCGTTTCTATTCAGAGATGTGAGCATATGCACACTTCATCCAGAGACAAAAAAAACTGCTAAATATTCTTGCATTTCTGAGCGTGTGTGGGTGGGGGGGGGGGGGGTGCATGTGTTGCGCTTGAATATTTATGAGGTAAAGAGCGCAAGAAAGCAGCGTTGGACGGATTTGAATGTCAAAAACCGGAAAGGTGCGCTGATGTGCCCATCTGGTAGCACTTTCACGCTGCTTACCGAGCCGTATGTGCCCAAAACGGAGCCCTTCGGATCTGCAGAACTAATCTGGGAGCCGAGGGATGACGAGCTGCAGGAGGTGGGATGGTGACCCGTCATTAACCCCAAAGACGAGCGGAACCACGCTGGGGGGGACGGAGATTCAAGTGGCCCATCTTGAAGGAAACAGCGGGCTGCATGGTCATTACTTCATAGGATAAGCTCACATTTTAACACACATAAGTCCATATTTAACATCTAGTAAATATTAGACCCATATTTGTTCTTGTAGTTGGATCAGAATGAAAAAAGTGGCATTCAGGTCAAATTAGCTCAAATAAGTGAGATACATTTAATAATTGTACAATTATAAATGGAGGTGGCATTAAGACTTGTTCCCAGTAGAGTGCAAATTTTACCCAAATGTGTAGGCTACTTTATTAATGATTTATTAATAAATACATTTTTTAATAAGCCGGACAAAAAAAAAATCACTCCAACAAGTTTGATCACCTCTGTGAAGCATGACAATGTCCGGGAATTGCGCATCAACAAATCAACAAATAACTATTTCATCTCTATTGTTTAAAGACTATTTAATATATATATATATATCAACGAGGTATAGTGTGGCTCTTGTGCGCCTCGGGAGAGAGGCTGCTGAGCTGCGCGGTGGGAAGAGAGGGACAGAGGAGGCAGCCTGAAAAGGAAGCACGACTCGCTTATCGCGTCATTCTGGGTCCAGGCGTTGAGCAGGAAACAGCCTTTCCTCTCGGATTGTCGCAGTAGGAACAAACAACACAATTTTGTCTTTGCTCAATGCACCCCTCGGCACAGAACACGCGGAAGCCGGTCAGAAGGAAAAATGCCTCCTTCGATAGCGATAGCTGCTCTGCTCCTCGGCGCCCTGGCTTTGGAGACGCGCCGGAGTGCCAGCGCGCTGCACGTCCAACAGGCGTTCGCGTCTCCAAATCAGACCAATAACTTCGCGATGGACCCGGTGTCCAGGAAGGTCTACCTGGCCACCGTTAACACCGTCTACCAGCTTAACGGGACCTTGAGCGTCGAGGTGGAGAAGAGGACCGGCCCGGTGGAGGACAACCTGTTGTGCCACGCGCCGCAGCTGCCACAGGCTCCGTGCGAGCATCCCAAATCCCTTACGGACAACCACAACAAGCTCCTGGAGCTGGACCGGGAGCAAGGGGTCGTGGTGGTGTGTGGGTCCGTGTATCAGGGCTTCTGTGAGCTCCGAAAGATGGAGAATATTTCGGAGATAGCGGTGGAGTTCCCGCACCAGGGTGAGAAGACGGTTTTCCCCAGCATGCTAAACATCGCTGCCAATCACCCGAACGCGTCCACGGTGGGGCTCATCTTCAGGAGCCACGGGGGGAACACCCGGCTCCTCGTCGGGGCCACTTACACCGGGGCCGGTACCCAGTTTTTCCCCAAGAACCACAGCAAGGAGGACCTGCGCTTTGAAAACACGCCGGAGATCGCCATCCGCTCCTTGAACATCAAGGATCTATCCCGACTTTTCACCTATGACATTAACCCTTCGGAGGACAACGTATTCAAGATCAAACAAGACGTTAAGACCAAAAACAAGCTGAACTTCGTCCACGCGTTCATGCAGAAGACTTATTCCTACATCGCCTTCAATAACGACGCGAAAATGGGCCACAAGGAGAGCCAGCCCAACAGCATCCTCGCCCGGATCTGTCTGGATACCGAGAACTCCCGAAAGCCCAGCGGGCCGGAGAGCAGGAAGCTCACGGAGTCCTACATCCAGATGCCGCTGCAGTGTGGATTTAACGGGAACATTTACAACCGGCTGCTGTCCGTTTACCCCGCGGAGATCCACGCGGACGACGGGCGGAGCTCGGAGCCGTACCTGTTCGGAGTGTTCACCAAGGCGGACAGAAAGTCCGCCCTGTGCGCGTTCAAGTTTGGAGACATCGACGAGGAGATCCGACAAGGCCGCCGGAGCTGCTCCAACTCTCCCAGCAGCGACGTCCAGGTGCTGGACAGCGTCATCCAGGGCTCCGGGGCGGCCTGCATCCAGAAGGGAAACCTGGTGGTAAGCGCTCACAGATCTCTTTTTAACACAGAAATATTACATTTGAAATGAGTGTAGTTTAGCTTCATTTGATTGTATGTGGTCGTGTTATGCAAAAATGTAAATTGTATTAAGTGACATTGGACATAAAAGTCGAATTTGACAGAAACAATTAAGTAATCGACTAATTGAGGTAATTTGTCTCTGTTTGAGTCTGTCAGTATCTTGATGATGCAGAATAAGTGACACTTTATTAACCTCACCAACAGTTCTTTTGCACTTCTTTTTATGTTATGATTTTATTTAGGATTTTTGTAAGCGTTTTTGGATTAAAAATGGACATTTCCTCATCGGACAAAGCCTGGAGATGATGAAGATTGGAGCTTGAGTGTGATTAGTAACCATAATAAACCTGCAACAGTCCTTCTTATTTATGGAGATCCTTACATGAGTTCTGATCGACACGGTTCAACATAAACACACTCATGACTGCTGAATCTCTGCCAGTTTCCAGTTATCCTGCTTCGGCCCGAGGCTCATGACTTGGAGAGAGGATCTCCCGTGTCACGGGTAGAGGTCATGATATCTGGAGAGATGCTCCCGAGCTGCGCTGGGGGTTATGGGAAGGGTGAAACCACCCTCGCATCCAGCAGCTCCCTGTCTTATCAAATATGAAAAGAGCAAGGGGCCAAAAGACTTCTTTGTTTTCCAGTTAAACCTCAGACATATGTCTCTTTTTTCCCGGAGTGTGTGCTGGTAACTATAAACGAACCACAATATTAGTGAATAAAAGGGCGGCTTTGTAGTCAACACTTGGCTGAATGTTATCTTGTTTTTAGGCTTTCCACTCGCATACAAAACAGAACATTTGCCCTGAAGGAAACTTTCCCTTTATACTGAGCAGGCGTCTGACGCTTTGCAACCGTGTCACAGGAATGCCGTCAAAATTCCATCTTTTTCCACTGTGGTTGTTCTGACAGACGTAGCTGAGGTCAAAGGAGGCTGTGCCGTGCTGTCAGGTCAGGAAGTTGCCCTCCACGCTGGCACTGCCTTGTCGTCTGTGACCAGTTTTTCTGAATACTATCTCAATTGGTCATGTTGAAATAGACAGAAAAGCTCAGTTCAAAGTGGTTGTAGAGGGGATTACTTTTTTTTCCTCTCTTGCTGTAATGTTGGTCAGTTAGTCATTTAGAAACAGCGTGATTGTGTGAAATAATCTTTGGCTTTACCACAATCAACATGAATTACAAATAAGATAA